TACCCTGCTAGAAGATTAATAGATGGAGTAGAGAGTAACCCATCCATATAACACTACTCCTTACTTTCCTGCCCACCTACCTATGCATCACTACTTACATCCTACCAAGCTATCTATCTAGCTATAGGTCTGCCTACCTACCTCCCTATCTACCAATGTACATACCCACAGCCTATCTATCTTAACCTATCTACCTATCCACTCACCCACCTACATACCCATGGCACTTACTTACCTCCCTCCCTATCTACCTACCTACCTAGCCATCCACACACCCACCTAGCCTCCCACCCACCCACCTGGCTACCAAAGTCGTTTTATACCAAGCAATCTAATTTTATTACCTTTCAAATTACATATATCGTAAACTACCTACCCCCTACCTATCTACTAGTTACCCAATTACCTACATTTACCATATGCCTACCAAAAAATATTCACACTGTCAGATGCCTCTGATAACAGTCATTTTACTTTGCTCTCATTAGCTTTAGATTTTAAGATAAAAAAGAAAATGTCATCAGCTGGAACCCCCAAAAATGAAGAAAAATCTCAAAGCAGTTCAGCTGAATCATCTTCAAGATCTACAGAGGAGGAAACTAAGACCAACAAATCAGAGGCATTTAATCCTAAAGACATAAAACTAAACCAAGGACAAAGAGAACTAGGAGAACTGACTATAGAAACCCTTAAAAGAGGTACAATTTTTTTGAACGAGTCTTATATGGGGTTCCCTGCTAGCAGAGTCTCTCTTCCTCTCTTCCTCTTGAACTTCAAAGTTCAATTTTATCAGTCTTGAATTTAAATTGGGATTTAATTTGCACTTAATAATGTCCTCATATTTATGATGTTGGGGAGAATATTGCCCCCTAGATCCTCTAGATATGCAAATAGCTATCCAATACTATGCGTACTTCATGTTTTGCTTCCATGGGGAATCATGTAATGCTCTGAAAGGAAGATGGAAGACCTGTGGGCTAGATTCACTAATGCCTCTTAATGAGAAAGTAAGGTTAAAGTTTGATACAATGCTTTAGAGCAAAAAGATGTACCATCTTTGGAATCGGAAGCAACAAATAATGATGAAGACAAAGTGGATACTGAGGATAGAGTAACCAAAGCAGATGAAACATCCCAGTGGATGGGGAGGATTGGGTTCTTCTCTGGCAATCCAACGGTAGAGACTGTCAAAGGAATTCTCCATATCTATAAAAACAAGTGAGTAATGTTACGCTTTATGAAATTCATTTTAAGGATTTATTTGTTTTTCTTTGGTCATAATAGTTTCTGTGTCACATGAAATACCTTTGAGAAATATTTTCCTTCCAAAATTAGCTGTTCTGAGCTATCATGCTTGTTGGCTTGTCCTTGTTACCTTTATTCATGTTTACGATTTGTTCATTTTCAGTGAGATGACGTCGCTCACCAAAGGAATTTCCAGAAGTCAGACCATCTGCATGCTTGCAGTCCCAGCAAAGCTTGCATGTATTGACCTTTTACAGTTTGTGGCTYCCTCAGAGTATGTGTTATTAGTTATTTTCTCGTAAAAATATTAATAAAGTATTAATAAATTAGAACAGGTTGTTGGGCACAAAAAAA